CTGGGCCGGGAGTGAGCTCATGAGCTCACAGCCTCCCAGCGCCAGCTGCCAGCTCGGCTGGGACATGCAAAGGGAGCGAGAGAAAATGCATGTGGGAGGAGGGAGGCACAGCGGGGGACAGAAAGGGGACAAGATGTTAGTTGCTAACATCTTGTGCTTAGATCTGCCAAAACTGTGTTGGCGGTCTCGGTGTTTACACCTCTGCAGTAAACGGTGGCAGGCTYTGCATTGTGTGAGACTGCTTCGCTTCAGGCTGACATTTGGAGCTACGGCTGCCTGGCAGGGCAGTGTGCTCTGAGGAGGGACATTTCCATTTCACAACAGACCGGCAGCTGCCCTCTCTTCTCAGTAAGAAACTGGAGTGGTACCTAGGGCTAGACCAGAACCACCTACCAAAGCCAAGGCAAACAGCCAGCAAGGAGTATAGAGATTACTGCTATTTATTTATAGCAACCACCACAAGATTGGTGACCATCCATTATAATAACCACAACTAATGCACAGGCACCTTCACATTTAAAAACATTTGTTTTCACACCTCTCAATGCAGACACTGATCTCCCTAATATCTGAGTTAGCTTTACACACTTCAGCAGCCTGACCAGCTTTAACTTAAACTTTAACATCAGGGCTTCTGTTATCACCAAGAAATCAGTGTATCTGAATTAAGATGGCTGTCTGTGGCTGCAATCAGTGTGACCATCGGTCTCTGAGCTGAGATGAGCTAGGAAGTTGGTTGTTCAACTCTTGTGCTTAGCATGTTTKGTGGTACTGTTCTGGTGACAGGTGAGAAGGCATCAAGAGCTTCATTGTACCAGACCAGGTGTTAGGGTCTTAAGGCAGAGATATAAAAGCAGAAGGCCAAACAGAGTTTACCTCAGTTTTGCCCAACCAGGCCCCACTAGTATCAGTAAGTGATGCAAAGGGATATAATTGTTATTATGAGGCACTGCACCACAGTAAGGTTCACCATATCTCACTGCACTGCCCAGATGCTAGCTGGGTGCCAAACCTGCACCAAATAGCCATGCCATCCCTCAGCATCTCTCTTCCCAAAGCAACATGAGCAGTACATGGTCTGCTACTGCAGCTCCCCCATTGTTCCTCTAGGTCCAAACCACTCTTATAGCAAGACAAAGGAGCAGAGCAACATTGTTCTCTGTATGTGGTCAGCACTGTTTGCACATACTGGAAGAGAGGGCCACCGTGAATAAAAATCCTACAGCAAAAGTATCTGACAGGASGATGGATTCCAACTGCCATTTTAAACAACAAAATTCAATATAAACCAAAATCCTCAAAAGGCAATTCCTCTCCTACCGCTTATTTCGACCATTTGGGACRTGGCAAAGGGACATGTGGCATGGACTCTTTGTTAGTGCTTGCAGACATTTCTCCAAAAGTGTTAACATCTTGAGTGTTGGCAAGTATTAGTTTTGATATTATGGAAGATCAAAATGATAACCACTTGTCAGCAGTTCAGAAACACTCCAACAGGGTGATCTTAACAGACCCCTGATGGGTCTCTTCCCAGGCTGATTTTGCCACATTTTGCCCTGTTCAGCGAAGAGSAGTATTGACACACAGTATCCCAAAAGAGGCTGCTGCAAAGCCAGAGGCATCCAAGAATCAGCATCACAAGCACCTCATGTTTAAACTTCAGTGCATTGATGCAAGTCCTCAGTGCAGGCAGGTTTCASAGTTCTCAGCTTCTGGGGAAACCAAGACCTGCTCTAAGCTCACCCTGTGCAAGCAAYAAGGTTAAAAGGAGCTGCTGACTCCACCTCTGGGAGGAATTGCTGGAGGAATGCTCCCTGACATGGGAGGCTGCCTCCACAGCTGCAAACCCAAATGGGCTCTCAGAGCATCCACTGCCCAGCAGCTGTACTGGCTATTTTCTGCTGAACCTCAAGGCCTCAGTATTTTCAGCCAGAGAAAAGCCTTCTTGAACTCACACATACCTAAAGGCCTCTGYATAAACTGAAATTTGTGAACCACTAGTGGCAGTTTTCCTTGCTATATATATTAGCAGGGRAAAAATACAGGATTTTAATAGATTTATTTTCAACCTACTTTAAACTCACGAAGATACGAGGCCTTATGTCATCGTTATAGTTGCTACATGTGATCCTGTGTGCGTTGTGAAGAAGCAAGCTAGAAATGAGTACTGGATGAACTCAAAAGCTTGCRACTCCTCTGCCAAAGCAAAGTCTGTCACAAGTTGCTAAATACATAACCACGCAAGTTAAAGAGACCCACACGTTGATAAGGCARTATTTCAGGGTGATGAGCCTGCTGTGCACCAGCTATGAATCAAAAGGTCTTTAAKCTTTCTCCTGCTATGGGCTTCCTGCATGGATTTAGAGTAGGTCACTGTCTGAACTTTCATTTATCCACTTCTTCCTCTTTCCCTTGAGCTGAGATCTGTAGATTGTGCCTATTTACTGTGTTCAGAGCTGAGAGTATAAATATGCTGATGAACTGCTTAGATAMCACAGTGGTCACATACAGGCAAGTTTTATAAAATTATACTATCAGGCCAGTATTTTACAGTAAAATTATTTAGGGGTGAGAGAATTAGAGATAAATGCACTGATGTATGCTGGCATAGAAATCCCAGCTTTGGGAAGCAAAGAAGCCAGTCTGTACAGAAGTCTGTGGAAGCAGCAGGCATGTACCAGGTCTGTTGCTSTTTCAACACAGAGAAGACATCATCAACTCATGTCTTTCATGCTATTTACTATGTATATTTAAGCTTTAATGTAAGCYTTCTATTATCGCATAGCTTTGGGAAGGGAGGCTTGTCAGCTGCTCTGACAAAGCAGCTTTTAGCTGAATGAAATTGCTGGACTGGCATCTTGATACAGACTCCCTTCTTTATTTGTACTGAACGCTGGGATGGGGCTCCTGTGGGCAGTCTCAGATGTCCAYCAGYTCCCCAGACATGCTGAAGTGGGATRAGGATAGTGGTAATGATTTTATTAGTAGTACCACAGGTCTGACTAAAAGGGGATTTTTGCCAAGAGCAGATATATCTGTAAAAGTAGCCTCATTAAAAGATCCTATGTCAGCTGAGGGTCCTCTGAATCAGGCCAGCAAGATCTATTCCTAGGTGCCTCAAAAACTGCCCTGGAATTCAAAATGAAGCTTTCAGCCTTTTATAAATTGGYAAAAAAAAAGGCTTACCTCAACTTCCTCTATATACAACTTCACACCGAAAAGTTTTTCGTATTATAACAGGAACACCTTCATTTGCTGTTTGTTGTAAATTGGCCAGTTTACCCTGCTAAATTCTGAGGAGGCCAAAGATCACTTGAGTTTGCTCTCAGCACTTTCAGGCAGAGTGGGATACCACAAAATCACCTTAGTTAAGGCTACACTGAGCTAATAACACACACTCCCATTAATAACAACAAGCCCAGCACAAGCAATTTGAGACCACATCCCCAAATAAAGTATGCATATGTACCCAAGTGCTAGGGTCGCTTTCACATTTTCCAATGCTCATTATTAAAAAGAAAAATCAGTTGCACATTAACCAAATGCTTTGTCTGGGTACTAGATCCTCACTCTGCAACCTACYTAAGCAACATCCAAAGCTGCGTTCTGAACCAATTACTGTTGAAAAACAGGACTATGACAGTAATAAGAAATGCACTTAGTTGGCATAAAGTTGACTACTTTGTGTTGACRTCAGTGAGATGACAACCATGAAGTCAGTCTTTGTGGGAAGAGTTTCACTCTTCAGGGTATCAGTTTTCTGGAAATGGTGCTGTTTCCTACAATTCTCATGGAATTAATATTTTTACTGATTTCAGGCCTAACAAAGATATAAAAGACTAGTTAATGCKAATTCCCTAACTCAAGGCTATATGCAGATGTAAAAAGGTATACTAATTCAGGCAGCAGTTACTCAACTAAGTATAGGAATAACATAGTTAAAAATTACGGCTTCAGTCCATGTGAGTTCAGTGAGATWATCTTACTAGTTGCTCTTTACAACAAGGAAGAATGTCTGAGGTCATGTGAGACCAAAGCACATGCTCACGCTGCAAGAAGAAGTTTTAATACAAGGAATACCCAACTTCACAGAAACCCATGAGGCATTTCCGTATGTGCTTTGCACTTCCTTGGGAGATGCCTGCATCCTGGGTTCAGGCCCCTCACAAACTGTTTCAAACAAAGCATCCCCAGAAAGCTGGGAGTACTCTCACCCCAGAGATCTTGCTCTGCCCGTGGCTGATGCCATGCAAGTCAAGCTAAGGAAGAGATGACTTGAATCATGGAGCCCTTTAGAAACCACTRGACCAGTGACCCCTCCAAACATCCAGCATTTTATCCATCATTAAAGTTACTTAAGAGCCGTGCTGACATCACAGCATCTTTCACAACTAGCTGTAATAATCTTAACCAAATGAAACCCTTGAGCTGTCTGGGACAGTAAAAGAAATGCAGGTTATCTCAAAGGCAGTGCAGAAGAATTACATGTTATTATTTTCCATCTTTAGTTTGAATAACTCTTTGTAGCTGTTWGAGTGCTGTAAACCACAACTAAGGCGAGCTGCGGCAGCCTGGCTCTCCGTCTGCCCCGAAGCGGCTGAGGCAGCGTGTGCCCTCTGTGCTGAACGSGGCACATTCCCCAGCTCAAGGCCAGCGGGAGGGTCGGTACCCTCGGGAAGGTGGGGTTTGGCCGGGGGCGATGCCGGGGCCGGAGCACTGCCCTGCAGGCGCCGGGCATCCCCCCGCCCCAGCGCCGGGCGATGCCGTGGCGCCTCGGCCCCAGCGCCGCTAAAAATAAAGCCCGTCTCCGCCTGTCCGCCCTCGGGAATCGGAGTTGGATCGATGGYTTTCTTTTAAAGCCGGATTTTATCAATCGCCCCCCACCCCCGCCAACCCGCCTCTKAAGCGCCCAGCCCGGAGCACAGCCCCGCGAATAACTTGAGCGCCGGGATGGCCGGCGGGCGGGGGCTGGGGGTCCGCGGGCATTRCTCGGCACTCACCTGGCCGGCGGTGTCGTACAGCCCCAGCAGGTACTGCTTGCCCCCGACGGTAACGCTGACTGCGAGGGGGGAGAAACACAGCTGGTGAGGGGGGGCAAACCCGGCCGACCCCTGTGCCGGCCCCCCCGGCAGGGCGAGGCCAGGGGATGGAGAGAGGAGGGAGGGGAGAGAGCGGCTGCCGCCCCCGGCGGTAGCGGRGCCCCCCGCCCGCTCACCTGCGTAGTGGTCGAAGACGGTGGGCACGTACTCCTCGGGGAAGGCGTCGTTGGCGTAGCTCATCAGCAGGCACGTCTTGCCCACGGCGCCGTCCCCCACCACCACGCACTTCAGCATGACCGCCGCGCTGCCATGGGCCATGGCCGGAGCCCGCCCTCATGGCCCCGCGGGCGCGCCCCGCCGAGCCGGGCCCCTCGGCATCGCC